GCCACAACTTATCACATCATTCTTGGCACTAGGCCGCATTTGACATTATTCCCAATTTTAATATTAGCTTTGCCATTTAGGACAGTAGGTGCACACAATGGCTATTTAAATTGTAAGCATAAATAAGATTCCCAGTAGATGGCACAACAACACAATTTCAATCTAAATTAAATTCTAAGCATTTCAATATATGATTCATACCTCTTGCCCCTTTCCAGTTATCAAGATAGCACATTGATTACGGTGCGACACATCTTTCACGCATATAAAATTACAACATCAATTCATGTAAAATAATAGTTAACGCAATAATCCAAACTTTAGCCTTACCATATTTGCACAAGCACTTAATGAAGCTCAATTTCTAGAAGACGGGGTTTTAGCCATACATACCTCAATAAAGCTTCCCTTAATCCTTATAAAATTTCGGAACTCTTAGCACTTCGATCTATTATATAAGAATTACAAATTGAACCAAGAATTAGGGACAAGATTAGGATTCTAGCTCGTTTGAGCATATTATCGAGCACTAGGGGTGCATTGTGATCTTAGGTCCTTTTTGTGAGAGATTTCTATCATTTTATACCCTAATTGCTTTCTTTTTAGTTCACAACTTCCCAATACTCCATGATCTTGTACGCATGCAAGAAATCTATTATTATACCCATAAATTACCTCACTAATGACTCCTTATGGATATGTCTCAAATTTAGGAGTTGGGGTGATGAAGCCTTACCTCTTGGGATGAAGGTTTAGGTGCCTCACTTGATCATCTTCAATGTTTAACAAGGATTTATGGATCCATTTTTGATGAAAAGCACATCCCCTCTCTTAGACTCTCTTTCTCACTCTAGAAGTACCAGGAAATATGCTCAAAATGAGCTATTGCACAAGATATAACGACAGGGGGTCGGGTCTTAAAAATTAGAAAATGGGAGCCCGACTCAAGTCTGCGATCGCATTTGCGATTGCAAAGCTGACATGCGGTCCGCAGAATGGACCGCAAAATGCTCCCCAAAACCTGAAGACACTGTTTGGGTATGCGACGGGAATGCGGTCCGCATACCCGTTTTGTGGTCGCATAGTGCACCGCAGAACTGCCCCTTACAAAATCCCAAAGGGATTATGCGACGACTATGCGGTCCGCATATCGATTATGCGATCACATAATTGACCGCATAGTTGACCTCAAATTTGACCAACACACTGTTTCACTCTGCGGCGACTATGCGGTTGGCATAGCTGTTATGCGACTGCATTCTCGACCGCATAATCGCACTTTTCTAGAAAACACTATTTCTTGACTTTTTAGTGCACAGATCAGTCCAAAAGGTCTGAACCGTGGCGAGGTTGCAAGCTCCCGGGTTTTGAGTAGAAATTTTCATGGGGCCTTACATTTATGTCATGATACCATGGTTCACCATCTGGTTCTGTCTCAATTGTATTGCAGTAACCGTGTTGATTCCGAACTTGGATTTCTAGTGGATCAATATGAGTGTTGCCTGGATAAGGGAGCATCGAGGCTAAAGTAGCCAAGGCATCGGCTAGCTCGTTGTGAAACCTGGGAATGTACCTGAACTCGGTAGATTTGAATCTTTTGCTCAAACCTTGCACACATTCACTGTATGGAATAAGCTTGATGTATCGAGTCTCCCATTCGCCCTGGGCTTGCCGGATAAGCAAGTCGGAATCTCCCATAACCAATAGTTCATGCACATCTAGATCGATGGCCATTTTCAGACCCATGATACAAGCTTCGTATTCTGCCATATTATTGGTACAGAAGAACCGAAGTCGGGCCGTTGCAAGGTAATTATGTCCAATAGGTGAGATAAGGATAGCCCCGATACCAACTCCTTTGATATTGACAGCCCCATCAAAATACATTTTCCAAATAGGGTTATCGTCTGGAACTACTTCCTCTATTGAGTTGACCTCTTCATCTGGGAAGTACGTGCTAAGTGGCATGTACTCATCATCAACTGGATTCTTTGCCAAATGATCTGCCAAAGCCTGGGCTTTCATCGCGATGCGGGTGACATAGACGATGTCGAACTCTGTGAGCAGGATTTGCCATTTTGCGAGCCTGCCAGTGGGCATTAGCTTTTGGAATATGTACTTCAAAGGATTCATTCTGGATATAAGGTAAGTAGTGTAGGCCAAAAGATAATGTCTCAGCTTCTGAGCGACCCAAGTCAAGGCACAACATGTCCTTTCTAAAAGGGTGTACTTAACCTCATAATTGGTGAACTTCTTGCTCAAATAATAGATTGCCTGTTCCTTTTTGCCTGTTGCATCATGTTGCCCCAGAACGCATCCGAAGGAATTATCCATCACTGATAGATATAAAAACAAAGGCCTACCAGGTTCAGGTGGGACTAGTACAGGAGGTTTTGACAAATAATCTTTGATCCTGTCAAAAGCTTTTTGGCAATTGTTCGTCCACCTAATAGCGGCATCCTTTTTCAGCAACTTAAAGATGGGCTCGCACGTGGTTGTGAGCTAAGCAATGAACCTACTGATGTAGTTCAACCTCCCGAGCAAACTCATGACTTCCTTTTTATTCTTCGGGGGTGGCAGATCTCGAATGGACTTTATATTGGATGGATCCAATTTGATGCCTCTCCGACTGACTATAAAATCGAGGAGTTTCCCAGATAGAACCCCAAATGCACATTTGGCTAGATTATGCTTAAGGTCATACCTTCGAAGCCGTTCGAAGAACTTTTTCAAATCGCACACGTGATCAGCTTGTGTCTTTGATTTTATGATGACATCATCGACATATACTTCAATCTCCTTGTGCATCATGTCATGAAAAATGGTGGTCATGGCCCTCATGTAAGTTGCCCCTACATTCTTTAAACCGAATGGCATGACCCTGTAACAATAAGTATCCCATGGAGTGGTGAAAGCGGTCTTTTCTGCATCATCCTCATCCATTAGAATTTGGTGGTACCTAGCGTAGCAATCCACGCAAGATTGTATCTCATGCTTTGCGCAATTATCTACAAGAATGTGGATATTTGGAAAAGGAAAATTATCCTTTGGACTTGCTTTGTTCAGGTCCCTATAGTCGACACAAACTCTGGTTTTTCCATCCTTCATTGGCACAGGCACAACATTTTCCACTCAGGTGGTGTATCGGACAGCTCTGACCACATTGGCGCTCAGTTGCTTCATTATTTCCTCTTTGATTTTGTCACTCATGTCTGTTTTAAATTTTCGTTGCTTTTGTTGGACTGGTGGAAAACCAGGATACGTAGGAAGCTTATGAACCACTAGATCAGCACTTAAACCCGGCATATCATCGTAAGGCCAAGAAAACACATCTCTGTATTCAAATAAAAGTTGAATCAAGGCATCTCTGGTTTTTTGTTTAGTGTGAATGCTTATCTTCGTTTCTCTAACTTCTTCATGACTTACGATATTAATCGGCTCAGTTTCATTGCGGTTGGGCTTAGGCTTGTTTTCGAATTGTTCAACTCTCTTTTTATTTCCTCAACAACCCCATCTTCATCATATTCAACCTCTTGATGCATTATTTCGATATTAGACAGCTTTTTAAGATCTGGGCGTGAATTCCACATGCATATCATGTTATTAAAGCCGGCATTAACAAAGCTGAAATGGAAATAAAATGATAGGAATTAGGAAAAGGAAAAGATACAAAACTTAATAGGAAATTGAACTGCATTTCATTGAATTCGGAAGGATAGAAGGGTTAACATCAAAACAAAACCATCATACTGAGATGTTTGGATTACAATCCTGAAAGTAACCCAAAATACAAAAAGAAGCTGCAAAAGCAAACTACCAAGACTCCTTCCTTGTGGGGAGAGGAGTTGCTTCCCAGTTGTTGAGCATGGTATCTGGGTCAATTAGTTGCATATTGGCACGACTAGTGCCTTCACCAGCCTGGATCATATTCACTTCACAAAATATCGGGCTAAGGCCATGGCAAATTTCATCAATGTTTGCATGCGCCGAGGAATTTTGACCCTCTTGAGGTCGTGGCTTGACAAAAGTATAGAAAATGTGAGGGATAGGTTGTTGCAAGACCCATCCATGTTTTTTGCGGTGCTTGGCTTTGTTCTCGTCTGCTTGTGTTGGCCTGAAGCCTAAGCCAAAAGTACCCTGGTTATCGAACGGAGAAATAGGCTTCGAAATTCCTTGCAATGATGCCCCCAAGCCTTTTCCTGGCTCATAACCTTGTCTCATCATAACTGCAGCCACCATTACAGATGTGGCGGATAGACGAGGATGCAGAATGGGCTTTCCTTCCTCGACATGGTCCACATCAACCACTTCAAAAGCCTGATAGATAATGGACTCAGACCCTTCCTTGGCCTCAATACATGGGATTAACGGGTCTTTATAAATGGAAGACTCATCTTCTCCTTAAACAATAATTTCTTGCCTTTCATGTTCGAATTTGAGCATCTGATGCAAGGTGGATGGCACAGCTCGGGCCGTATAGATCCATGGCCTTCTAAGAAGAAAGTTATAAGAAGTGGCCATGTCCACTACTTGGAAGACAATCTCAAGTCAACCGGCCCAATCGTCATGGTGAGGTTGATCTCCCCAATGGTATCTCTTGTTGAGCCATCAAAAGCCCGGATGCGAACATTGTTGGGTCGGATTCTGTCTGTATCGGTCGTCATGCTTTGCAAGGTAGAGAGAGGGCATACATCTACACTTGAGCCTCCATCAACCATGACTCGCTTTACATAATGACCCTCACATTTGACCATCAAGTTCAAAGCCCTATTGTGCCCGGCTCCCTCCTCGGGAAGTTCATCATCAGTAAAGGAGATTCTGTTCACCTCAAAAAATCTGTTGGCCATCTTCTCTAATTGATTCACTGTGGTCTCCTCTGAGATATGTGCCTCATTTAGGACCTTGATTAGTACACGGGCATGCTCTTCGGAATGTAGGAGCAGAGATAGTAGAGAGATTTGAGCGGGAGTCTTTCTTAGCTGGTCAATGGTTGAGTAATCCTAAACTTTCATCTTTTTCAAAAACTCTTCCGCATCTGCTTCAGTGACTGGTTTCTTTATTGGAAAATGGCCTTCTCTAATTTGCTTGGCCTTCCTCAACTCTTCTGGAGAGTAACATCTCCCTGATCGAGTCAAATCTCCAGTTTTCCCCACTTCCTCTATGATTTCCTTGCCTTTGTAGCTCATCACAGTTTTGTTGTAGTTCCAAGGAGTGGTTTTTGTGTTGGTCACAGGGGGTTGCACGACAGGTTTGATTACGATCGGCTCTGTTATACCTTTCGTACCTCCCTGCTTCTCCCTTTTGACGGGGTGGCCTCCAAGTACATATAACCTTGGGCTTGGAACACTGGAGTGAACTTCCAACCTCGAGATCTTTGGAACAAATAAAGTTGCCTTATTTGAGCTCTGGGCGCCTTTCACAATCAATGGCACATCTCGGCCGGAACTTACTTCCAGACCTGCTCCTTCTTGAATTGCACCCACTGTCATTTTTGCTCGACCGACCGGTTTGTATTCTCGATCTCGGCCAATCATTCCCACAAAATGAACATCATTGTGTGCTGGAAACGGGTTGTTTGTCACGTTAGGAGGGTCCTCGCCATTCGTCACTACAATCAGTTTTTCAGAAATAAGTCTCTATATGGCTCTTTTCAGAGTCCAACAGTCATTAGTGCTATGCCCTGGGGCACCGGAATGATATTCACATCTAGCATTTGCTTGAAATCCATGCGAATCGGGATGCATATGGTGGGGAGCGATGGGTCCAATTACGCCCATTTGCTTCAGCTTCTGGAATAGACTAGAATATGATTCAGCCAATGGAGTGAATTTTTCTGCCGGCCTCTGCTCTCGACCATAATCCTGCCTGGGACGAGCATTGTAGGGTCCCCAAAAATTTTGCTGCTGAGGTCGGGGGGCCCTTGGAGCTGGTGCCCGTACCTGCTTATTGGGAGGCTGAGCATATGATTGAGCATTGAACACTGTATATTATGGTGGGCCCACAAAGTATTGAGGAATTGGCGGGGGATAATAATGTTGAGGGTAGCTGGATTGCCCCTCATGAACTTGCACATAAGGGTGCGATGCCCCTCTTTGAAACTCCCTAGATCCCGAAGCCATCATGGACCCGTCATCTCTTTTCTTTCTATTTGCCAAACCTCCCGACCCATTTTGGACAGCTTGGGTGGTGGCTTTGGGAGCAGCTTGACTTACAATTCTACTAGTCTTGAGGCCATTTTCGACCATCTCCCCTATTTTGATTGCTTCTGCAAAAGGTCTACCCATCGCGAACATCATATTCTGAAAGTAATCAGGCTCTTGAGCCTCCAGAAAAATAGTGATCAACTCGTGGTTATCCATGGGTGGCTTAACTCTAGCCGCTTGCTCCCTCCAATTCATGGCATACTCCCTAAAACTTTCGGTCAGTTTTTTCTACATATTGGACAAAGAATTACGATCAGGTGCAATATCAATGTTATACTGAAATTGTTTGACGAAGGCCTGGGCTATGTCATCCCAAACATGCCAGTGAGAGATATCTTGGTCAATGAACCATTCGAAAGCTACCCCCACAAGGCTTTCCCCAAAGTAAGCCATCAACAGCTCTTCTTTTCCTCCTGCACCCCTCAGTTGGTTGCAGTACCTTTTCAAGTGGGCGGATAGGGTCGTCGTGTCCATCATATTTCTCG